GCTGGTCTAGGTCAACAGGCTTCCTGATGGGAAAGTTAAAGTTTTAGCCAGTGTCCAAACAATGCTTCCCTAAACATCAACTAAACCAAGGTGATCATCCTTGCATGAGGAGTTGAAGCTAAAATATACACACATCACCAAATAATTGTGCTAAACAAATTCTTTATTTTTCTCTCTTGAGCTGTGTTCTCTTCCTGGGTCTTCAGGGATTGTTTTAGAGTAGCTCTTATGTTCAGTTTCCATCATTTGGTGAATTCTCTAGAGCATAAAATAAATTGGGTTTACCAGCTCTCACCGATGTTATAGAATTCTCTTTGCTCAATATGAAATTAATAATGAAAAATAATAATGAGGGCATGTGGCCATTTTGAATATACATTATGGAGAGCTTGACTTGGTATAATGCCCATGAATTCTGTATTATGAACCCACTGCCATACTAGACACGGTAGAACATGCAAATGGAGTTCCTACTTTCAGGGAGTTTACTTGTTTATTATTCATTTGTTTAATCACCAGATATTTTTTGAGCACCTACTAAGTGTCAAGCACCTTGACACATATTAAGGATTTTGCAATAAACAAGGCAGATATGACTGCTGCCTCCCAGAAGCTTATGCTTTAGTGAGGTTAATGGAAAAATTAGCAATTAAAATACAACCCATATCTGTGGCCGAGGTATCAGGGACTTCATTATACAAATAGCTTTGCCAAGTGTCATGTAAGTACACCAGAAAGGTATCCTAGAAGGCTGGAAAGTATTCAGATAGTTGATAGGCAGATCTATTTTTATTTACTTATTTTTCTGCTATCCTAGGGATCAAACCCAGGGCCTTGTACATGCTACACAAGCACTCTACCACTGAACCCCAACCTGGCGGGTTGTTTTTATAAATATCAACTAGGAGTCAGGCCCTGAGATAACCAAGTTGATATCTAAAGGAAAGAGTTATCCAAATAAAAAAAAAAGAGGTTGGGGTAGGCAAGTAGAATGGTTTAGACAAAAGAAATAGCTTATAAGGTTACTAGAAGGCAATGCAGAGTTAGTCAATGAAGTTAATGTAGAGTTAGGAGTCGTACCAGGAAGCTGGAGGAGGGGCTGGGGAGCCATGACACAGAGCATGGACTCTACCCCTAGGATGATAGGAAATGGAACCGTAGTTCTAAGGCAGGAGTGACCCAAATACATCTGGGTAAAAGACTGGTTTGATTATTGTGTTGAGATTGGCTAGAGCTGAGCGTGACTGGAATACTGACTTCTATTTAGAAGCTGTTGGGATAGACCAGGACCCACACCATTATGATCCTGATCAAGTCAATGGTCACAGCTGGAACTATATGAATTTGAGAGAACAAATTTCCTACGAATGGAAAGCTCAGGACTTGGGGAGAGATTGAGCATTTACAGGTCAGATGTATTTTAAAGGGAGAGGGAGGAGTCATTCTTGGCAAACTGAGTAGAATGTGAAACCACTTATTGAGACAAAATTTCCTGAGACTAAAAACACAGGAGGAGGAAGAGGAGGAGAAGGAAAAGGAGAAGGAGGTAGGGGGAGCCAGAGTTCATGCTGTCCAGAGGGCTTGTTTTTGTTTTTTGTTTTTCCATGGGGACTAAATCCAATGCTTTTCATGTACTAGTGCTCTACCTCTGAGCTAAACCCCCAGCTCTTATTATTTTATTTTGAGACAAAGTCCCACTAAGTTGCCCAGTCTAGCCTAAAACTTGTGATCCTCCCGACTCAGCCTTCCCAGTAGCTGGAGTCACAACACCTGGCTCCAGAAGGTATTTTGATCAATAAATCTGAAATCTAGGAGAGAGACCAGTGATACAGATACAGATGCAACATTTAGCTATTCTTTACCTGGGGATAAGAGAAGGGTGTTCTTTATTCCCTACAGGAAACAGAGGATCTCTGAATCTTTTAAAATGTTTTCCAGTGCTTGAATTTATTCTATATTTTTACTTGAGAGTTGCGGAGGAGGAGGACACAAAACTGCTTTGAAAAAGTCTATAACTCAAAGGAAAATGAGGACCACAAAAGGAAAAGGAAGGGACAACCTAGGAAAGAGTGCCCAAGCCGAGTGAGCTGGCAGTGTTGGGCCAGAACCCAAAGAACAACACAGGCAGAAGGCAGGCAGAAGGGGATCCTTGAAATGAGCTGGAGTGTCCAGTGGGAAAGCATCAGGGGAAAGGAAGTGGTCCAGAGTCAGTTACACTGGCATAAAATACCAAGAGGAAAAGTATGCACTAGATTGTCAACATGGGTGCTCTTGACAATGAGCTGAGGTCAGTTGAACAGAGTGAGATAGAGATGAGAAAATGAAGATGGCAAAGATAGGAAACTCAAGAGGGGAGAGGAGGTGTTAAGGAAGGACCCATAGAAGACTAGGCACAAGGTGCATATTCATATACCCTCCCTATAAGATGGGTGAAGCTGTGCAATGAGCAAAATAATAATAATAATAATAATAACAATAATAATAATAATAGTAATAATAATCCAAAAGCACAAAGAGACGTAAAGTAACAACGTAACAATTAACCAAACCAAACACACAGAAGTAATTAACAAAATCAAAAGTGTAAAGCTCTGGGTATCTACAGTGGTCAGAAAACATTTTAAGGAAGGGTAAATGGAGAATGGTGACACACACCTATAATCCCATCCACTCAGAAGGCTGAGGCAGGAGGATCACAAATCTGAGCCAGTTTAGGCAATTTAGAGAGATATCCCCACCAACTCAAAAACAAAAAACACCAACAAAAAAATAAAGAAAGAAAGAAGGCTTATAAATTGAATGGATAGAGGTCTGAATGTGTAATAAGCTTACAGAAGCTTTCAGACAGGTGAGAATGGGTGACTCATTGGAAGAAATCTGAGAAAAATAATACTAACTGCATCCATTCTCCTTTCACCTTCTGTTATTCAAATAATATTTTCTCAGTATCATGTCTTTAGAATGGAAATTGATTGTCGCTCAGAGAGTAGCTATAGGCATGAAACTATGAATGGTTATAAGATATATAGCCCAATTGACAATTTCTAGTATCATTCTTGGTCTTCTTCACACATGAAACCAGCATATTCTTTGGGGTCACATTGTTCATTTCCTCATTTGGAATTTTTAACACCAGATAGGGTGCTAAGGCAGTATCAGCTGGTGCTTCTATCACTTAGGTTTCAAACATCCTCCATATTCATAAACACACCCATAAATAAAGGTGCTAATGTTGGGAAGGAGAAAGATCCTTTAATAAACAAAGTGGCACAAATAACTGCATGTCTGTAGGAGATTATTATAGGACCCAGCTCATAATTAAACACTGTCTATTTAACTGAATTATTTTTCTCCTGTCTTTCTAAAAAACTGTGGAAATGTTAATCTTCAAAAGTGCTGTTTATATATCTAAGTTAAATAGGCATTGTTTAAGTGGCAGCCTTCCCGTTTATTGCAGATCACAAGTATACAGAGGGCAGAGGATAACTAGAACTATTAAAAATTGTAGCAGATCTTAAGGAAGCTTGGTCTTCCCCAAAGATCTGAGCAGATGGCTGCTGCTTTCAGAGCTACAACTTCTCATTAGGCAGGAGCCCAGCAGCTCTTTGCAATGGTCTTAGCCATTCCTTCTCTTCCTTACCATAAGTATAGGTCAGTGTTTCAAACAGTTCATCAGAGGCAAAACTCAACCATTGCTATACAGACATTATAGAAACCAGTATCAGTTGCTTAGGAATTTCATTTCCCTACCTGAGAAAGAATATTCTATTACATTTCCTAGTTTACAGCACCTGCCCATAAAGAAAAACATAAATGTTACTGTATTTCTTCATCATTATGAAACTTGAATTTCTATATTTTTGTTCTTATTCCTAGAAGAAGGAGGCTCATTCACACACACACACACACACACACACACACACACACCATTTCAATTTCAGGTTCTGATTCTGGCCCGTCTTGGTATTTAATCATTTTGTCTGAGTGCCCAGGCTCTCTCTGTGTGGACACATCTCTTCTGACATACATTACTCTGACCTGTGGTCATGGTCATTCTGTCAACTTAGGTTTTCACCTTTCCAGAGGATGAGGCCCCATGCTTCGTGGGATAAAATTTATAACCTGCTGCCTCAACAAATATCAAGTTGGCCTTTGCAATTTTATAGTCAAAGACTTCAAATATGGGAATGCATCTTTTGTGGAAATTGCATATACCATTGTTGCCTCTCATATATCACAGCTTTATTCAGAGACAGCAAAGGCAAAGCCTTCACTGATGACTTCAAACCTGTGCCACATGTAGGGTTTTATTTTCTAGGATTCTAAGCATCTTTTATTAGAGTCATTTGGCCTGTTTCTGAGAGACCTTCGTGATGACCTTATTTGCTGTGAATGGAAAGTTTCTGAGGATTACTGTGTCACCTCCCCCCAGGTCAGTTAGAGGACTTAGTAGAAAAACTCTTCTGATCTGAGGAAATGTCATTTTGAGCCCAGAATGAAAAACATCTGATTAAACCTTTTGGGTCTGTAGAGTCATGTGGAATGGCAAATTATTTCAATGGTTATATTCTATACAAACAAAAGTTGTCCTAATGATTTGAAGAAAATAGAAGATAATATTGTTCTTTAAAATCAGATGAACTCAGACAAAATTGTCACAGATTTGACAATGTCGCAGAAAACCCTCTCCCTCGTGGCAATATTTTGGAGACCTGTTAGGAACTCCTGTTTTCCAAGCACAGCTTGGTGAAAGCTTCAGGCCTTCCCCCAATTGACTGGGATTAGACCCTCAAAGTGTAAAACGAAAACAGTCTGCACCATAAGAGTACCCTTCCCCCAAAGGCACTTGTTGAAGATGCTGAGGGCTGGGCCTGTAAATCTACATTTACTGAACTCTGTGCAGCAGTAAAGCACTGTGCATTCTGAGAGCCACAACCCTAGGAGCTAGACCACTGAGACCAACCTGACTGACAGTGAACTCTTTGTCTCTCTCTGCCTAGGTGCAAGTGTAATCTCCATGCCACTGTGTGTGTGTATGACAACAGCAAACTGACATGTGAATGTGAGCACAACACTACAGGTCCAGACTGTGGGAAATGCAAGAAGAATTATCAGGGCCGACCTTGGAGTCCAGGCTCGTATCTCCCCATCCCCAAAGGCACTGCAAATACCTGTGAGTAGCTTTGCTGAATCCAATGTTCTGTGCATGATGAGCTGATAGTTCCTCTCAATTTCACTTGCAATTGTGATTTTACTCCTCTAACCCATCGTCCCACTCCTCTTCAAAATGCAGCTTAAGTTTTAGTCCCTATTTTCTACTTTGTTAGTGTGTTTCAGCATTCTGATCACCTGTTAAAATCAGTCTTCTACCTTCCCATGAACTGTTCTGGAAAATGCTTCTTAAAAATCACAGAAACAATATTTTCCAAGTGGATCAAACGAGGTGATTTTTCTCCTTCTCCAAGTTAATTTCCTCTTGAAATAGCAAAAGTCTTGAAAACTCTCAATCCTAACTGACCATAAATACTTTCAGAAATTTTTGGAGTGTTTGCAAACCCATTGCCCACCCTGGTAACCCAAGAGATGCTTTTTCCAGAAGCATTTTCCTGTCTAATTTCAGCTAGATTCTAACACTTCTCAGTGGAATAACTGGCTTCTCCCAAGCTCTAGCAGTTGAGCCGGGACCACCACAGATGTTATGGGGAGACTGCTTCTAGATAAAAAGCATGACTGTAGGGCCTCTGGGTACCAAGGGGCTTTCTTGTGTGTGTGAAAAGGCACAGGTATTATCTGTGCTCCCAGGAGCTGTGTGAGATGCCCCAGCGCCACACATATGTTTATACGAAATCCCTGAATAACCATCCTAAGGAGATCAGACTCTGACAGGCTCAAGGAGAAAAGCGATTATTTTCCAAATAATTTGCCAAACTCCATGGATGGAACGATTAATCACCTGCAAAAGCCCAAGGTTAGCTTGCTTTCAAAAGCAGAGAAAGGGCGAGGTTAGTATATACCCATGCAGTGAGAAGTAAAGAGAACAGCAGGACAATGAGCACAGGAGAATGGGAACTTAAAAAGCCACTGGCTCTGTGCAAGGCTAAAAATGTTATCAGGCACTTCAAAGCTGCAGCTGTGAGAAGCCAAACCTAAAAACTAATATCACAAGAACCACGACCTTATCAAGTTAAGTGTAAGAGTAATGGACCAAGTAACAAGCCATGAAGTGTGGGGGCATGAAATTATGATAAACTTTCTGTGAAGCTGAAAAAAAAATCCCTCAAAAGGTTAAAAAAATCTCTTTGCAAGGGTGTTCAGTTTCTTTCTACATTGAAGAAAAAAAATCTGACTTCTTGCTCCTAAAATTAATACATTAAAGCTCTGTTGCGCGGAAATGTTGATTTTTCAAGGCGAGTTTATTAATGGAGACTCAACTGTTGAGAGCCAGAGACTGAAAACTTGGAAGGTGTCTCACAAGGTTATTTATTGCAATACCCTGTGGCTGGCTACCTGAGAACCCCTCTCACCACCGTTGTCAAATTTAGTTTAAAGCTTTCGCAAAAGAAAAATGGCTCAGATTTCATTTTCAGGGTCTACTGAATTCTTTAGTGGGACAGATGAAAGAGGACGAAGTTCAAAAATACTTGCTAGCACCCTGGCTCATCCTCGGGGCAGGTTGACTTGCCAAGGCCACCAGAGAAGCAGCAGGGGTCAACTGCTATTGAAAGCATGAGCTTCTATCCTAACAGGACCTTATACCCATAACTGTGCTTCAAAGACTTGTTTATTTCAAGACATTTTCACTGGGAAGACCTTCTCATTTCAGCCAAGCTGTCTCACAGAAATGGATGTCTTATCATATACTCCATGGAAATGACTTACATAAAACCTAACCCTTTGCATCGTGAAGATTATCAAGTCAGTCCCTGGCCAAAGGAATGCAACCTCCTTTGATTTGCCTTGTAGGGCAAATTGTCCATTCATCCCCTAGTTTTTACTGGACTTCTCTTGACTTCTGAACTTTTCTACATCTCTGTTAAAAAGGAAAGTGACAGACCTAGTGGCCAGGAGGGTTCAGTTCATCATTTCAGTCACCAATATGGCAGAGATTTGATGAACAATTTTAGAGATTGTCTGAAATGGTCTAGTTCTGCAAGGAAGAAATCTCTTGACATATCAGACAGTGTTTAAAATACACAAGTATGGCAGTAAGAAATTTAGGAGTTTGGTACACATGTTCTAGAATCAAATCCCATTCCTCCATTTACCTAGCTGTGTGACCTTGAAAAAGTAAGCCACCCTGTCCCACACCCCATTTCCCTTCCAAAATGTGAGGATAATAAAAGTTCTTACCTCACAGGGATTTTGAGAGGATTGAATAAGCTAATGCATGCAATATGTTTAGCATAACACCTGTCACAAAGTAAGTGTTCAAAAATACTTTATTTTTAGGATATTTTTCATGAGGCAGTCTTGCCCATTGCTGGACAGTTTTAATTGTTACAAAAGTCTTTTCTTAACATCAATGTTGAGTGTCTCTGAGTTCCCATCTTAAATAGTTAAAGAGCTATATTGACTCTGGTTTATTTCTTCTCTGGTTAACCATCATGCATCATTCACTCCTTTTTCATGTGATAATGTTTTCATGTCCCTTTCATGTCTGTCCTGGAAGTTCTGCAATTAGTGTGGTACTTCAAACCAAGCACTAAGCACAGGACTTCCTGAACCTTTTTGATTCTCTTTTCATTCACATTGCCTTTTGCTTACACACATGCATGCATGTGCACACACACACACATACACACACATACATATACACACACCCACTTTCACATGGCTCTACTTGATACATGATGAGTCAGTTATCTTAGAGAGACACTTAGAATATGTCATATCCTAATACCAAACTTCAAATCTAAGTAATGAGAAAAGAGGGACTGCAACCTCAGGCCCTTTCCTTCCTCTCAGTAGCCTAGAAATGCCTCTCATGCTGAAGAATCTCAAAATTTTAGCAGAATCTCAAGCAGCCAGGGAAGTTTTGGATAGGAAGGTCAGGTGCTTCCCACTGCCACAGGTTTTAGCAAGAGAAGTAGGATGCTTTTATTAAAGCAGGGAATTACAAGATCTCCTTCCAAAGACACTTACACCACCACTCAGGGACATCCCAGATTGGCACCTTGCTTAGAGTCTCTGGGCTTTGGAGGTCCTGCATGCCATAGCAACACAGAGCATATAGTGATGAGGAAGAAGCCTGGGGAACATTGCTGAAAGCCATGGCCGAGTCTGTATGGCCCCTGGCATTTTGCCAACAGTATTGATTGACAGGCAAGGCATTACTATCCGCCTCTGCCGCAACTTTTGAGTTCTCGCACTATTTTGGAGTTCTCGTGGGGATTTCCGGGGATTCCCCGAGAGTTCCCATTGGTTGGGGAAGTGCAGGAGGAGGGATTTCCGGGAGAGATATTTCCGGCTGGGGGTTCCTGGAGGAGCTGCGTGGTGTTCGGGAGGATTCCCCGGGAGCTGTGTGAAGTGTTTTCCTGCAGTTCAAAAATAAAGTTTGTTCCTGCTTCAGTGGCTCGTGATTTGTGCCCAGCCAGACTGCGGCAGAACATCAACAGTCTAGAATAAAGCCTTCCCAGTTGGACACACCAGAGAGATGATAAACTTGACCAATGCAGAGTAATAATTTTTGTGGTGCTATTTTTATTCTTTGTGCTTCTATTCAACACCTAGTGTGTTTTCTTGCCATTTATAAGATATATATGTGTATATAAAAATCTTTTTCTTATTTTCCTTCATAACTTAATGTTTTGTAGAAAAGACATCTTTCTCTATTGATCTTCATTTCATATTCAATTCTATTTTGAAAGTCCTCTGAATTCCATTGCCATCTTCCAAACAGATAGCACCTCTATCCAATTCCATGCTTAATCATGATGCTCATGATTCCCATTGTCTAGCTCATAGAGAGAAGCATTAAATTGCAATGTTTAAACTCTTATCCCTGTGGAACAACACAGGATATTTGTCTACATGTAAATTCTTAAAACTTAATAATCTCCCTGTAGAAATCATAGCTCCAGTGTAATATTTACACCTCTGCTTCTCAAATGGTGTTCTACAACCCTTAAAAGAATTCTATGTCCAAATAAGGTTTAGAAAGTGCTGTGTTCTATCCTAACACTTGCATAGTCACATTTCCTTATTAAATACATTTGAGAAGCCCTACCGTAAAGTAACCTGTCCTACCCACTACTTCCCAAACTTATTTGCTTCATGGAACACTTAATGACTTTCTATAAAACACTCTTTTGGGGACATGCTGGTCCGAACAATTTCTTTCAGCCCTGTCATAGAAATGTCACGGAGACAGACAAAAAGCCCAGCTCATTCAGTTGTATTCGCTCTCTTAGTTTTCTGTTACCTACACAGTCTAATATTCTTCAAAGAAAGAAAATTAAATTGGTCTGACATTGACATTATTTGTTTGTTCAGAAATCCAACTTGAATTGTTATACAATATCTAGGTCTCCTCTGAGTGATGGAAAGTAATTTGATGATTTTTCTATTATTTTCCCTCCTATTAAATTTGCAGTGACTGATTTCTATTTTCCCAGGTGAACAAACGGGTGTGTCATTATCCAGACAATTTCCTAAATGCTTCACAAGCATCAGTCCATTTTAAGCTCACAACAGTCTTATGACAAAGATACTAGAATTTTCATTTTACAGATGTGAAAACATATGATTACCGGGGAAAGTATCTTGTTTAAGATTTAGACAGATAGTAAGCGTGAAAGGGGCAATTGGAATCCAGGTGTGTCTTGACTCCGAAGACTGCATATTGGTCCACATTGGCCTTCAGATTAAATTTGAGTGGTTTTTTTCTGTCCTCTATTGGAGTTCAGGCACCATTTTGATACCGGTTTAAACAAGCCAATCTTCTCCAAACTTGCTTGCTTTCTAGATCCGTACATGGTGTTTCTCTGCCTTTGAACACTTTCCTCTGTTCCTCTTTAAATGCTCCTGCTTCTCACCTCTTCTCAGTCTACAGTTTTTTTTTTTTTTTTTACTGTGGCATTTCATTCTATTCCTGTGGTCTTACTTCTCAGTATTATTGGTGTAGTAGTAAACAACCAAATCTACTTTCAACCTTTTTAGTGAGTCCAGACCAAT